GTATTCTCAGCATCCTTCTGTAGAACAACATCTCATTTTCCTGAAATCTCCTCTCTGTCTATGAGGAAAGTTTGCATCATTCACTACGCTGTATAAGGAATGATCTTTCATAGCAGTTCGGCACCGTTCTATTTGTTTCTAGCGAATTTTTCCTGTTTCTTAATAATTCATTTAGATTTTGGAAGACATTTCTTTTACTATTCCAGTGGGGCCTCCGGATATATGCCTTATAATTACCTACATAAGATTAAGTAGCGAATAGTTAATCTAATTTTTGGCATAAGTACCGATCAATAGATACATTATCCCAAACATTTTTTACGGGCACTATGCTAGTAATTCAATAATAAATTAGGCACAGTTTTCTAAGCCTAAGATTTGAAGTGATAATGGAACATTTTTACAAGGTTTACCAAGATTATTTATCGACAGTTTAGGAAATACACCTCGGAAATAAGTTTTTACTCTGATAAGAAGAATATAATATTGAGGCACCTAGTGAGTATCAAAATCGCAAACATTAGTATATTGTTCTACCTTAGATATATTTTGTAGTATTTACTTAGTCTGTGACAAGAGGAAACAACTCAGGAAGTTGGTCAAAGTGGGCAACTATACAATATTGTCTTTATCTAATACTCTGTTTATTAACTTGGTGCAGAGACATATTGGGTGGGTTTGTCAAGTCTAGTAAATATTTGACACACAAGACTAGCAAGCATTTCCGAGGCTACTAAATATTTCTCTGTCTATATTTCTGAGATGAGGTATTACGTACATTATTTACATTATTCGGACTATTGTCCTCATCTTTGTCGCCATATTTATTACAACGTTTCGGCCTTTCAGTATCTGACTATATTTCTGAGATGAGGTATTATGTACACTATTTACATTATTCAGACTATTGTCCTCATCTTTGTCTCCATATTTATTACAACGTTTCCTCAAGGACACAGTGGATAAAGGCGTCAGTTATATTCAGTGACAGAACCAAAAGATTGTGAGTTCAATACCCGGTTAAGGCAGTGGAGAACGTGGAGACGGGAATTAACAGGAGATAACTGATAACTGACATCCATTAAACATGGCACGTGGAACTAGAACAGACTATCCCAACGAGCGAAATAAAGGATTCAGTTGGACATTCCAAGCACCTGAAGAAGGCCGGAGCGTACAACGGCCTAAACGTTGTAATAAATATGGCGACAGAGATGAGGACAATAGTGAGAATGATGTAAATAGTGTACATAATACCTCATCTCAGAAATATAGACAGATATTGAAAGACCGAAACCTTGTAATAAATAAGGCGACAAAGATGAGGACAATAGTCCGAATAATGTAAATAATGTACATAACACCTCATCTCAGAAATATAGACAGATACTAAAAGGCCGAAACGTTGTAATAAATATGGCGACAAAGATGAGGACAATAGTCCGAATAATGTAAATAGTGTTTGGGTACATTGTTATAAATCTCGGTCATGAGATTTGTTTAAATACTTCATTTTTTTTCCACTGGTGTTTTTTGTCTATGATCTCAACCTTATCCCACAGTAGGCGGTGAATACTCTATCCCAGTGAGCGAAATAAACGCTTCAGTTCGATATTCCAACTACCGGAAGAAGGCCGGAGCGTACAATGACCGAAACGGTGTAATAAATATGGTGACAAAGACGAGGATAATAGTCCGAATAATGTAAATAGTGTAAATATTTCTCATATTGGATAACATTGCAGACATTATTTTTTTAAAATGTCAACACATTCAGAAGTTAGGTGACCATGCTGCTCTCTGCCGATGTATTTTTTTCATTATTTGTGCGTTTTCCATATTTCAGCCCATGTAAATGGCGTGTGTAAAGAAATGGTAGTTAGTTTCAACAAGATGGTATAATTTTTAATCGATTTAAACCCAAGCAAAGCAGAAAAGCCACTCAGACACGAGGCGTTACTGTGTGTAGAAGAAAGAAATATTAATAATGTGTGGGCAGACTTCATGAGTTCAAGCGCCCTACGAGTCTGACATCTCGCTCTCACCCTTTCACTGTCGAAACTGTTAAATGTAGCCGTCTCTTCTACTCTAATAGCTTCATGTCTCGCACTTCTCGCCTGTAGAACTCCCTCCCCTTTTCTTGTTTCCCTGATAGCTATAATCTCCAACTATTCAAATGTAATGTCAATCGACGTCTCCAGATGCCCTGATCTATCCCCTAATCTTCTCTTCATCCTTTCCTCTATCACTCCTATTTGCTCTCACTCCAACTCTCTGTAACCCATTGCGTGCTAGTGGCTTCCCGCCTTGTTTGGGGTGAAACGCTTAAAAAAAAAAAATAATCAGGAGGACAATACATAGTGATTGGCATTGTATTTAAATCTTTAAGATTAAAATTGGATTGAAAGCATGGGGCTGGAACGGAGTTTCACAAGCAAGAAAAGACACTGTCAGCATAGAATTTACGCTTACATCTCGCCAGCTCAACTGTAAATTGATGAGATCTCAACACCAGACTAGTTCTGCACTGAAATTGAAGTCTAGTTGACATATTGACGTGTTCATTCAAAAAATTACCATGAAAGTATTTATAGAAAAAGACACAGAGAGGCAACCTTATGGCGGTGGAAAAGTGACAGAAGACGAGCCCCCAGATCAGGACCAATAATATTGCTGATTTTTCTTTGGATTTCATCAAAGAGCTCAGGGTAAATAGCAGCGGACTGATTGTGGCAGGAATAGTTTAAGAATAGACGAATGGTAGAAATATGTCACATAGATTCTGGAGAGAATCAACTTTCTTAGCAGCTGACTTAGCAATGGATTCATTATAGTCTTTCCACTTAATGTCATTGGAGAACGTTACCCGGAGAAGGCAGAACCAGTCACTTTCCTGGTGATTAGCATCAGTGAGCGAAATAAAGGGTTCAGTTCGACATTCCAACCACCTGAAGTAGGCCGGAGCGTAGAACAGCCGAAACATAGTAATTAATATGGCGACGAAGATGAGGACAATAGTCCGAATAATACAAATAGTGAACGTAATACCTCATCTCAGAAATATAGACAGACATTATTATCTAATAATCTATTATAATAAAATACTACAATCTAAAATATATTCTGGGTTTAAATAACCCGAGAAAGGTTGATAAACCGTAAAAAACAAATCAATCAATCACCCCAAGAGCATATTTGTGCTAAAGTGAATGCAACAGACTAGCCCAGAATTTGAATTCGGCTTGCCGTTTCTGTTTAGCATACCGCTATCCGTTACACGAAGCACCCATTCGTATAGAACTCTCCCTTACTTAGATTCAAAGGCTATGATGCCAAATTAACTGGCAAGAAGAGGATACTGCAGTAATTTTTCAATAAAAAAAAAGTCAAAACTGTGCTTTACACGGTTTTAGATACTTCAAGGAATTCAAAACCAAGCACATATTTCTACACAATTCGACAAAATTGCGATCATCACACACACATACACCATTACAAATTCAAATCTTCAACAACATTCATTCATTGGGCAGGAAGCAACGCTGCTATCTTTGGCGACCATTTTCGCTATATTTTCATATAGTAGATTTTGGTCACTTTTGGGAGAATCGACTCCCAGAAGTCTCCTCAAAGCTCAGTATCGACCAATCAGATTCTCTGCATGTGTAGAATGATTCTTCTCGTGCAGCACTACTGATCCAATGACCACATATAAAAGCAAAACAAAAGAGGAGACGCACTAGTGAGACTTTAGCTGCCACAGAAATCCACGACATTTGAAGCTATGCGCCCATCTTCTCACTCAACTCACAAACTGCATATTCTTTCACACTTACATAGATTTTTCCACGGCAGAACTGTTTAGAAACATTTATAACAGACTAATAACTCTTTCTTTTCTTTCAGAGAACTTTGATAGACTTACTCATTGCCTGCTTTTTCGTACACATTCTTTATTGTATGCATTGTTGAATACAATTTTTAAATATATTGACACCTTTGTCGTGTCCCTTTTTTCACATCAGTTTGGTTTCGTAAACAAAATTAAATAAATGTGGTGGAAGTTCGCCACAATACAAAGCGCAGATATATGGCGAAAATGAGGCGTGGAAAATCGTGAAATGGATAGCATCTCAGCATAAAATAAATAATCGAACGGAGTTCGAATTCCAATTTAGTTCATTGAATTCACTTACGCGTAAATGCTCTCGGAAAATGTATCAATGTATCTCTCCTCAGCTATTCAAAAAGTGGCATCACAGACTAAGCTACCTAGAAGCAGTTGGCAGCCAGTATAAGTGAAGGAAAACATTGAATTCAAAAGCATAAGATTTATCCATGATACTCGAATCACACCGATGACGATGACATATTCTTGAAAAGCACTTCTACATTTCACTTGCCAATATGTAATAACATCGATTCTGACTTTATTCTTCTTTGAATTGGTTCATGTCCATCTTTCATTCAATGCAACAATATTAAAAATTATTTTAGATATAAAAAGATATGGTTCCTTTGGAGTAATAGAAATTGTAAGAAAAGAGAAATGTTTCTCTCAATGTAATTTCATTATTTCTAATATCCTGGCAGAACTTTTCTTCGTTTGTGACATCATCGATCGCCTGAAGTAAAGATGCAAAATAGGCATCCTTTTTCGTGACAAATGCAGAGATTTTTTTTTAAATATAGAATGGGAGCTGGCTTTTGTTCGCAGAATGTTAAGGTAGCGATTCATTTTCTCTTTTAGTTGTTATCTTTCGAGATACAGCTTTTAGTTTGACACAACAAAAAATCTTTGCTGGCGAATGGGCATTTCAAAATTCATGTCGATAATCACTTCATCAAAGAAACGATGTTTTTATTGTAAGAATTCTTTTTTTTTCCCTTTTCCTTTTTTTTTTTTTCAGAATTCTTTTCTCCGTTTAGCACTTTTAGCTTCTGATTTCGTCCTGCTCTTGTTTTCTTCAGAACTTTGTCTTTTACTTCATTTTGCTGAGGTCTTTTCTTTCGGTTAATTCTTTGCCTTCGTTTTTTTTTCCTTTCAATCGCGTCATCCATTACTGCTTAACAATATTTACTTCTATTTCTTCTTTCCTTTCTTCTTTTATTTCTTCTCTTTCTTCTTTTCTTTCTTCCCTCTTCTTTTACTTCTTCTCCTTTCCTTTCTTCCCTCTACTTTTACTTCTTCTCTTTCTTCCTTCCTTTCTTCCCTCTTCTTTTACTTCTTCTCTTTCTTCTTTCCTTTCTTCCCTCTTCTTTTATTTCTTCTCTTTCTTCTTTCCTTTCTTCCCTCTTCTTTTATTTCTTCTCTTTCTTCTTTCCTTTCTTCCCTCTTCTTTTACTTCACTTTCTTTTTTCCTTTCTTACCTCTTCTTTTACTTCTTCCTCTTCCTCTTCTTTTGTCTTTTATTTTTTTTACTACTTAGAAACTCTTTTTACCGTTTATCAAACCCGGTCTTCGCACTTGGAGGCGGTAGTCGGATTGAATTTCAAAGACTCAGAATTCCTTATTTCCTTTGTTTTCAAAATCGGCTCGCGGATTTTAATATAAATATTTATTTATATGATCGGATTCACTACTTTTGCATTATTTATCATTATATATTATTTTGTATTGAATGAGGTTTCGAAGAAGGAGGATCTGGAGATTTTCAATCGAGTTTTAATAATTCAAATTTGTTACATTACTCACGGGATAATATGCATATCCGGCATGTTTGAAAATTCTTTCTGCATACAGTGCTATAGATTTGTGTAGCCTCCTCATAAAATGACATAGCTACAGCGTTTCGGCAACCTTGCACAGATGTTGCAAAAAAAAAAAGTATCTTGTAGACTCTAAACTTGTAACGTTGCAAATATGTTGTCTTGTAACGTTACATCTACAGAATGTAGATAATATATAATACTAGAAATATATTACAAAACCCATATCTGAGTGATCCTCTATTACGAAAACAAAATGAAAATAAATTTAGTGCTCTCAATACGCCAATGATACTTATTTTATAGATTGGTTTTCTCCACCTTTGCTTGTTATTTAAAGCTAGAAAATCCATTTAGACTGTAAGAATTTTTTGGCGATAATAATAATTTACTGATGCAAATAGTACTAATTAACCCATAGCTTGAGGCAGAAGAGGTGGATACATACATTTCCTATTCCTTTGCGTGTAAGGGAATAAATCGAAGCCAACGGGAATAGGAACTCAGATCTCCAGTTAACCATTCCAAATCATTATCCATTAAATTAATCACACATCTAAACATGCAGTACCTCTTGTCTCCAAGAGGTTACCCATCTAGACAATGAGCAGATTCGATGTTGCCTAACTTCAGTGAGCGTACGGAAATCAGCGTTTCAGTGTGGTGTAGTTGTGAGCAATGAACATTGACAAATCTCCTCAAAGATGAAATGGAAACTTAAGGCATTAGAAGTGTAGTTCTACAGAAGGATATCTCAGAATTCTACGAACAAGACATGAGTAACAACGAATTTTTAAGGGAAAATGAAAACAAAACGACATTTACACTTAGAATCAGAAAGACAGATGAAATTTTGGGATGTATGAAGAAGGAAATAATCTTCGTGGATTTTATACGCACGGGACATTGGAAGCAAAAGAAAGAGAGAGAGAGAGAGAGAGAGAGAGAGAGAGAGAGAGAGAGAGAAAAGCAAGAACTAATCTACATAACGAGCCTTTGTAAACAAGATATTGGGAAGGATACTAGAACATAACTTACTTACTAAGAGGAGATTTTAGAAGGTCATCATAACCCAGGTCCTGGAGGGGAACGTGTTGTTAAGTGAAGAAAAAGTATTCTTATGTTATTTGACCAGTAGTGGATTTTAGGCGAAACCTTTTCGCAAATTTACTAAAACGTTGTGACAGCAGAAATATAGTTGATTGCAATTTTAACGTAACGTCACCACAACATCATATATCTATAAATGTAGATAAAACCTGCAACATGGGAAAAATGGTGCACGTTAGATGAATAAGTAATCTTAATGTTGATTTTTGTAAAGAAGCCCCATTTGTGAAGTCAATGATATGCAGATTTGGTTGAGTTTGTATCTTGTTTTATTCCTTTTAATTGGAATTTAATGTTCTGTTGATCGAGAACACATTTCTCCTTATTAGTCGTTATTACTTCAATTTGATAGTATTTAATTGAATAGAAAACATCACGCCATCTTTAAAGACACTGAATGTAAAATATAATGAATATTTAAGATTACTCTTTAAGAATCCAGGTGCAAAATGAATATGTGCCCCATCGGACAATCAGCGTAATGATCGATATAACGTTTCAGAATGAGACATTCAATAGGAGAAGACAAATAACGTGCCGTAATAACACTGGAACCAGTAGTGTCGTGTTTGTGCTCAGAATGATTGTTTGATTTGATTGGGAAATATATTATAATAGTCCAAAACGTATATTGAATAGGATAGAAAATAAATGTTGTAGATACGAAAGTCATCTCATTATCTTTCACTCCCAGTAAGCAATTGCGTCTTACTTGCATTATTGACTTCTTGTGAATTGATTAAAAATAAAATTAGAAAGAATTTTATTGGTGGCCAAAATCATAACAGCATAAGATATGTTATAGAGACATTAGTAAACGAAAGTAGAAAGAAAGGACTGAATATCACTTGTAAAAAAAAGCCAGAATATATGGTTGTCAACAAATAGAACAGCCTAAGATGCGAAGTACAAATTAAGAACAGCAAAATAAAGCAATTACGAAAATTTCAATATCTAGTAAGTTTTTTTAACAGAAGACAGAAAATGGAACATCGAAATCTGAAGGCGCATCACAATAGCTAAATTGGAACTCTAAAAGCTAAACAAAGTATTAAAACTAACGAATATTTCTTTGAAACAAAGATAATATTACAAAACTGTAATGTAATATCGGTTCACGTGTATGGAAAGGGCGTGGATAATATATATCAACACCAAACAATCTTACCTGATCTTGTAAATAAACTAAACCCAAACGAACATACAATCGAGAGAGAAAAAAAGAATATATCACTATTTCTTATTAAACCTCAGAGAAAACGATATGAAACTAAACATCTACCGAAGATTCATGAAATAAAAGGAATTCGCAATTTTGTATTCACGCCACAACGAGCAAAAAATATGATCTGTTATAATTATAGGTTTCTACTTGAGTACGCTTAGAATTTGCTATTCTCAATATTTGCATGGTAAAGAAAAATATATTGGAAATATAATTGAACTCCGCAAATATCCTAATCATTTAATGCATAACACGAAAAGGAAAACTTAAAACCTCAAAGAAAATAACATTAAATAACCTTCCTAAAACTTGGCGCATAATTCTACCGATTATTCCAATAACGACTGAAAAGATTCATCTAAATTTAATGTTTTTTATAATATATATATATATATATATATATATATATATATATATATATATATATATATATATATATATATCAAACATAAACACATCCATATATAAATTAAAATGAAAAACTAAGACGTACCAGAGAAAGATTTCGTATGACGCGTTACGTCTTTTAGTACTTCATTGGACGAAAATAACATTTAACTTGATGAGACTACACACGCACATGAAGCACAAGGGATTCAGTTCTCTCCCCTCATATATATATATATATATATATATATATATATATATATATATATATATATATATAAAATATAAACATATATTAAAAATTAATTAAAATAAATATATATATATATATATATATATATATTTATTTTAATTAATTTTTTAATATATGTTTTGTGTCTATAGTCTAGTCGATTTTACTTAGATTATTTTCTATGTGCTTATTACTTTCACTTGAATTATCCCATATTATGATAATAGAAGGAATATCAAGAGAGGTGAAATTATATATAAAACTAGGCGTACATTTACTGTTGTTCATCTAGCGATTAAAGCACTTTCTATACATTTTCATCTCAGTAAATTTTTTTGCTTTTAATTGGAGAAGAATCTTTAAAGAAAATGATGAGCCGACTTATTATGTTGAGCAGGTAATGCATTAGACATGTTATTTTGTAAAAGATCCCTTTTATGTTCATACAATCTTTTATTTAAATTCCCCGAGGTTTCTCCTATTTATTACTTGTGGCAATTATGACCAGTCATACAGTAAATTCTGTTGACAATATTTGTCGTTGTCTCTGAATATGGAATCCAATGAATTCCGTAATCTCTTCATTATCAGAGGTTGGCAATGAAGATTCGGAGAAAGTAGCGGCTGTTAATTCTTTACGTCTTCGATATCAGGTTGGCAGTGGAGATATTTTGGGAGAAAAAACAAAATGGCTGCCTTTATACACGTCGCATTGAATATTTTGAGCTTTCTGATTGGTTAACCCTTCTATTGGTGAACTATAAAATGAGTCAGCTCATTTTGACTGGCTCACTAGTACTATCGTACACAAAAACTGTAACAAATTCTTCCTTCAAGTTTTAGTCTATTATTATTATTATTTGTATTAATTATTTTATTGATTGAGAAGTTTTATGTAAAGCTTAGACAAATTCACATATATATATTTTATGTATGAGAGCGTGCTGAAAACATGTATGCAGTTATTAATATGAAAAGTTGAAGATATTATTTTTTTTCATGCATGCTCTAGAATCAACCCTTCATAGAATCAATTTTTCTTTGTACTTTTCAGCCCACCCTCGTATATTTGCGATATGTGTTAGAAACTGATATTTTTATGACAGCTAGGACTTTACAAACCAGCAAAAAAAAAAAAACAGTTTACACGGCTTAATTCTAAACTAAGTTAACACGGATATTAAATAATAACTTTTATGAAAAGGGTAGGTTGTATAATTCCCTTAGAAAAAAACATTTTAGGCCAGATAAACAGAGGCATAAAATTACTTGAATTAGAATTAGTCAATACTTCATCAGCTCATTTGAGAAAGATTCATAGTTTGGTGGCTTCATGCCTTCAATATAGAATGTCTGAGAGACCAGACATTCTCCTGTTTGAGAGGGAGTAGGATTTTCTTCACTTCCATTTTTATAATAGCCATTCAATACTTTGGATAATCACACAGATCAGTGTATTGGCAGCTTGATTGAAGTGACGGTAAAATAATTTCGTCTTTACCAAGGCTGAGGCACATATCTTGGACAAAGTACAATAGGTTTATATCTTTTCATTAGTTTGGACTCTAGATAACAGCCCAATATTCGTAGACTAGTTGAATAAATCCAGCGTCAAGGGTTTTTACCTTTTGAAAATAATATACTTAAAGCAAAATTTAATCCGACCTATTCTGTGATTAGCATTCTAGAAAATTTCAGAAGCATGTGTTCTTCAAGATAAATCGCGTGAAACTAGAATATCTAAATTTCTTTGTTCTTTTACTCGAAAAAACCTAGAGTTTAAATCTATTACAATTTGTCTTTGATCTTCAGCACAACATATTTTCCTGCATTGTATTTTAGATGTGATAACGAATTCCAAGCTGGAATTTTGTTTAAACCATCTTGAAATAATTAGCAGTCTTCTTGTCATTGTTGCCAACATATCGTTAAGTGTCATCAGCAAATATTTGCCAGCGGATT